AGCGTCGCAACAGTCAACGATATCTCAAAGTCAATGTCCTATGAAGCACACTGTAGTGTTTAATACATATATACGAAAAAAAACATACGTATATTCACATGTGGAGGGGAAAAAGTGTCATTTATGTCACTCCTATATTGCTTTATAAAAGCTTCGATCAAGTGCACGCACTTTAGACAAAATTCTTTATTAATTAAAAATTCGATAAACGAAATGAAAAATTAATTAATAGTTTATCGACATTTATTTTCGATAATTAAAAATATAATACTATTATATATTAAAAATATAATTAAAAATTAATAAGATTATTAATAGCAAATATATTTTATTATTCTTAAATATTTTTCCATATTATTCATTAATTATAAAGTTAATAAAGTAAATAAAGTAAATTACAAATTACAGTAAATTTTAGTGTCTGAAATTTTAATGTTTTCTATCTAATATTTTTCTTCAGTCACATTTTACCACTTCCGGATTGATTAATAAAATTTTATCATTTTCGAATTAAATTTCGAACGTAGCAAAAAAATTGAGTTTCGAAATGAGAAAGCGCAGGAATTCCAAATAGTTTATAAACAAAAGTTATATAAGTTTTTCTCTCTTTATTTTAATACATATTAATAACATAACTATTTTTATTTAATTCAAGGAAATATTTATTATTTAATTTTTAAACTCTAGGCAATAAGAATATATAAGAGTTGTGTTATAATAACGGTGAAATTGATGTCAATATCGCTCTCGCACTTTCTGTCAAAGTACATTGTTTTATCAGATAACTATAACGTTAATCAACAGGTAAAATGAAAATCAGACAAACTTGAGTCTCATGTATATACTAAAAATTTTAAAGATCCATATCTTATCTTTAATTTATTATTTCAATATTGATGTTTGATGAAACCTTGACAAAGCCTTTTCTCATCATCGCATCAAAACACATTTGCAATTTTTACACGACAAATCCTTCAACTCAAATATAGATATAGACATTATTAACTCAATTTGTAATAAAAAAGGGAATGTAAGAGAAAAAAATTTCCTACACAAACTCATCAATAATGAATCAGCGTAAAGACAGTGCGAACTATCTCTCTTATATTCTAAAAACCAAGAAATATAACTGCTATCGCAATCGTTTCGCGCGCCTAAAAATAACCATTTGCAAAAAAAAAATTTTTTTTACATTTCCTTTCCGACTTTCATATGAAAAAGAAAGGCACTCAAAATAAAATTAAATATAATAAATATTACCTATTATAATATAATAAAGAGGAAACGTGAATATTGCATATAACAATTAACATTTAATATTTATTATCATTTACAATAATAATTATAAATAAACTTATATCAATTTTGATATAAATTTAATTATAAGCTTAAATTCAATTCATCTAAATTTCAATTTATCCAAATTAGCAATATAAAAGCAATATAAATGTCAAAAATTTAATCTTAATCTATCTTAAATTCAATTATTGAAGCGTTTGGGTGCAAGAAGGGCGTATAACAAAAAACGACACGGAACGGAGATATTTCAATAAGTAAAAGTTTTCAATCTTTAATTATTTAAAAACAGAAATGCAAATTAAAAAAACATGGAAAAGTCAGGGAATTTTGATCAAAATCCTGGAAAATTATTGTTTTCTAAAGTTATTGTCCTTATTTTTGAAATCTAATTTTACTTAAATATTTCAAAATTAATTGAATTTTAAAAGAGTTTCGTTTACAATTTTCATAAATAGATAAACTTCAAAAGGTTTAAATTTGAAGTTTTAGAAAATTTCAATTTTGAATGAATGAATTTAATAAAAATTCCACAGGAATTCTATTATTTACAAATTTTTTATAAATTTCTTCGCAATAATTAAATTATTTTCATGAAGAATAACATTTTGTACCAGGAATTCAATTATTTTCATAAATAATAAATCTCTATATAGTTTTTCAATTACTTTCATAAATAATAAAAACTCATCGCACAATTTCAATTATTTTTAATAAAATTTTAATGAAATTTCTCGAAAATTGTAATTATTCTTAAAAATTTTATTAAAATTCATCAAAGAAATTCAAGTATGGTCAAAAGTTTAAATAAATTCTCATCAAAATTTCAATTATCTTTATAAATAATAAAATTCTTCTTTAAAATTCAATTATTTTCCAAAAATTTTAATAAAATTCTTATCAAAATTTCAATTATTTTCAAAAACATTTCTCAATTCAATTAAATTTTTTAAAGAGATTCAATTATTTTTAATACAATTTAAATATTATGTTTCCAAAGATAAAATTATTCTTAAAAATTTTCTTAAAATTCGTCAAAAGAATTTGAATTATTTAAAAATTTGTTGATAAAATTCTTTTCAAGAATTCAATTATTTTCAGTACAATTTTAATAAACTTTCTGAACAAGATTCAAATATTTTAAAAAAATTTTAATGAAATTTTTCGAGAGAATTCAATAATTTTCAAAAACTTTGATAAAATTCTTTATACGATTTAAATTTATTGTCATCACAATTTTAATTAAATTTGTTGAAATATTTTAATTTTTTTTAAGTTCGTAATGAAATTCTTCAAAATAAATCAATTCTTCTCAAAAATTTTAATAAAATTATTCCAAGAATTTAATTATTTTCAAAAGCTGTAATAAAATTCTTGTCAAGAATTCAATTATTTTCATATTAAGTAACATAATTTTCGCAAAAGCTAAATTATTTTTAAAAAAATTTAATAAAACTCTAATTAAATCAAATTTTTTTTACAGAGATTTAATTATTTTTAATACAATTTTAATCTAATTTCTCCAAAAATGAAACTGTTCTTAAAAATTTTCTTAAAATTCGTCAAAAAAATTTTAATTATTTAAAAATTTGTTGATAAAATTCTTTATGAGAGTTAAATTTTAAGACACATTTAATTATTCAATAAATTATTTATTTTTGTATTTAAATAATTGAATTCTCGTGAAGAATTTTCTATTAAAAATTGATTTAAATATGCATTTTAGTTAAAATTTTGGATAATAATTGAATATTAAACTTTCTGAATTTGAATTAGTGACTGACTTTATGCTTTTGAATTAGCAGATTTTACCAATAAATAGTCGTTTCTAATAATTTAATAGTAAAATTTACTAATTCAAAATCAAAAAGTCAGTCACTAATTCCAATTAGTAAACATTTTTACTTATTAAAATTTTAAAATGAAAATATTATAACGTTAATTTTTAGAAATTATTGAATTTTTAAAAGGTTTTAAATTATAATCTTTGAAAGTTTGGATTTTTCATAATTTTAACTATGAAAATTGTGTAGATTTAATTTTTTTTAAAAAAAGTTTAATCAAAATTTTTTGAAGTTTTTATTTTCTAATATATTTAATTGAAAAATATCCGAATAATCAATGAAATTTCGTAAAATTAAATTGTAAACAAAAGGATTTGAAAATTTACAAAAAAATTTTTTAAAAATTATTCAAAATAATTAATTTAAAGAAGAATTCTAGTTAAAAATTCTGGAAAACAAAATAATTGAATTGAAGTGATGAAAGTAATTTTGAATAAGTTACAGTAACAATATTCTTATAATATAAAATAATTATTTTATAATTTGGCCATTTTTAATTATTATAAAATATGAATATATCGATTGTTCCGAAGTCGAAGACTCGGAGTGATCGATATCTCCATGTTTTATAACAATTTTTTTTTAAAATTGTTCAATTTAAAAAAGGTTTGAATTTGAATGTTTTGAAAATCTTAATTCTTATGGTATAATAATGATTAAATATTTATTTAAAAAAGAAGCAATAGAACATTTTTCTGAGTAATAATTTTTAAACAGAATGAGAATATTTTTTAAGTCAAGGAGAAAAAAGAATTTTGTCTGGAGTTGAAGGGAAAGTCAGGGAAAAACAAAATTGAATTTTTGTTGTCAAAAAATCCCGTTTTTTAACATGGAAAAGTCAGGGAATTTGAAATGAGCAAAAGCGTATCAACCCTCTGCGTTAATGTCAATAATTTTACACACTTTCTCCTTGGTTTACAATTATTTTTTACTTTGAATAAAAAATTTTCGCCAAATTTTGAAAATATATTGATTTTCAAGTGGTGATAGAGAGAGAGTAGCATTTCTCCACGTTCGATCTTTCCCCCTCCCTCTCTGTCTTTCTCTCTCTCTCTCTCACTCACTCATGTTACAAGGGCACGGGAAGACCAAGATTCCGACCGTGGACCATGGCTTGCCTTCCATAACTTATCGGATAGGTCATTACTGACCCTTTAAATTCCCCTTTCACACCCCACCCACCTTGCCCATTTAGAGGCTCTCCTCCCATCTCTCAAAATTCCCTAATCTTGCCAATTCCCCCTCTCATTCCACATTGAGAATATCCTCCTTTTCACCTATCGAGTGGAGGGGAGGGGGTGGATATCCTACACCTATCTAGTGGGGGGAGGGTGTATATGGTGCACCTATCGAGTGGGGGTGGAATCAGGAAGACAGAGCGTTGCACTATTGAGGGTACACTGTACCAGTGAACTCGCCGTGTGCGTCTTCGAATAGATTCCCCCCACCACTCTCTCTCTATTGCTCTCTCCTTCGGCCTCCCTCTCTCTCTCTCTCTCTCTCTCTCTCTCTCTCTCTCTCTCTCTCTCTCTCTCTCTCTCTTTCTCCTTTGGACTCTCTCTCTCTCTCCTTCGGCCTTTCTCTATTTTTTCTTGAGGGAGAGAGAGAGAGAGAGAGTCAAAAAGAGAGTAAGTGAGTCAGAGAGAGAGAGAGAGAGGACGAAGGCCTTGAGGGTTGAACTTTTCCCCCCCTCCACTCTCATCATCCCCCTACCTGTTAATTTTCCACCCCTCGATTGCGCATCGAAATGAACGATCCAGAGCAGGACTTGAGGGGAGAGTTATACTATTAGAGAAATTGAGAGTGGGGATTGAGGGAAAGAGAGAGGGGGTAGCCTACCTCCGATAGTGGAAAGAAGAGGGGGAGGGGATAAACTGGCAGCGGAGGAGAGCTCGACGACGGCACTGTGGAGGTCATTGACCCCAGCGACTCGTTGCCGGCTGTTAGAACGCTAAGGTTTTACCGTGGTGCTGCTGCTGCTGCTGTGCTGTTGCCGTTGCTGTTCGTTGTTCCGCGTTGTTCATTCGCGTGCAACCTCGTGTGCGCGCAACGGCTTCTTTTTCCTTCCTCTCTCCTTCGTGCAAGGACGAAGGCCCATGGGCCTGTTCGTTTACACACTGCAATTGTAGTCTGTCAACTTTGAACAACGTGCTTTTTTTTTTCTTTGTAAAACTTTGCCTTTAATTTTACAAAAAAAAATTTTTTTTTTATCCATCTTTGTAATTTTTTTTTTTACTCACTCTCTCTATCTCTTTTCTTTCCTCTTCAATATTTATGTACGAACACGCATGTTCCGGCCGGTGTGACAATTTTTGTCAATAGTGGAACTGAATTTAAATTTTTGAAAAAAAATTATTATCGTAGATGATTTTTATGATGTAGATTTGAGATTTTGTGATATAAAGGTGATTGATAGTTACGCAAAAATTAAAGTGCAACTGGAGAATGAGGAAGAGAGGAAAAATGGAGTTTAATGGGATGAAGGAAGGAGTACAGTGTTTTTTTGTTTAATAACACTTGTGCATCAGTGCTGTGAACAAAAAAAAAAAAAAAAAGTGAACCTGGATTATTTGAGTTGATATCAAGAATAATATTGTCTTCGAGGCTGAGTAAATGTTTAAAATGTGCGGTGATATTTATGAAGAAGTTATTTATATATAAAAAATTCCAGAAATAGGAAATTAGAATATTTTTTTTCTTCTACACACACATATATATAGATATATATATATATGAGAATAAAAAAGGGATGAGAAGTCATTTTTTTTTCTTCTGTCTAGAATATGACAATAGATACATTTTTCTCTAGCACTCTCTTTCTTTCTTCCATAACGTACAGACTATTTTTCACTTTCATCTCATCTCAAACAGAGCATATAATTTTAATTTTCAATTCAACATTACTTTTTAAACTCGACGAGAATTTTATACTTTCTTCTAATCGGGGAATTAATTTATATTAATATATAGTAAAACATAATTTATTAATCCAACTATGAAAGTGCTAATTTTTATTAATTAATTCATTAACCAATTTATCGAAGAAGTAATATTTATTTATTCTTCGAATTTATGGAAAAATTAATTTTTATTAATTTACGGTCACAAGTTTTGAACGTTCAAATGAAGAAAATAATTTTTATCCAAAAAGTATTTCAATCAATTACTGATTGCAATGGAAATTTAAAACATAAATTTGATATTTTAATTTTCTTGATTGGGGCGCAAAATTATTGCAATAAAAATTTAATTTGAAGAAGAAATAAATAAATGTCGTTTATTTGAACGTTCAGAACTTTAGGAACATATTTATTCATTATTCAGGCAATGTAATTATTATTGTATTTTTTTATTCTTTATGTTTATTTATTTTTCTATTTATACTTAACAAATATTCCTCTTGAAGCCGAAAAATTGGTATTTTTTAAAAAAATCAATTTATTATTCAGAATCTTATTCCATAATGACAAATCAAATTCAAAATTATAAATATAAGTATAAATCAAAATAAATCGATTTGTAAGAAAAATTAATAAATATTTCTTTTAATTTTAATGCTTCCTCCACGAAGAAGCAAATTTTTTTGCTGATCGTGAAGAGGAAGGAAGTAATTTAATTGCTAATTTGAATAAGTGACGAAATTTTTGCTTTTGAATTAGTAAATTTTACTAATAAGTTAGTATTAGTTACTACTTGTTTGTAAATTAAGTAAATTAAAAGGAATAAAAGATAAATAAATATAATGAACAAAATAAACTAAATAAATTCATAGAAATGATTTTATTTATTAATAAAATTTACTAATTTAAACCCAAAAAATCAGTCACTATAATTCAGCCTATATACTATGCTATAATTCAAATTGATAAACATTTTTACTAATTGAAATATTTAGAGAGTATAGAATTAATTTTTTCAATTATTAAAATTATTGTAAATTCTATAAAGAATTATTTTTCAATTATTGAAATTTTTATTTTGATATATTTATATTTTTTGATGTTTATTTAGTTTTGATATAAAAATCCCAAGGGGATTTTTATTTGATTTCATTATTCGGTCGTCTTAGATAATTTGAGTGATCGTTCACCTCAATGGTTTTAAATTATGATAATATTTTATTATTATTATTATTATATTATTTTTATTAATATTATATATCTTGCTTATTGTACGAAAGGGTTTGTCTCGTTTATTTTCAATAAATAAATAAATAATTATTAAATATTATTACTATTTTTATTATTTTTATTACTATTATTATTATTATTACTATTATTATTATTATATTGTTACTATTATCATTTATATTCACTGAAAAAAATATTCATTTAAATCAACTAATTGGTTGATTTTTAAAAATTTACTATTTGAAAAAAACATTACAAAATAAATGAGTGGAAGATCTTTGGAATAATTTTATAGTTGAAAAATAATTCCACCTCTACTTTTTTTTAACATTATAACGTCACTGATGTCAACAGTTATTTACACGTATACATTCCACTTGACTTGTCGAGACAGTGATAAGAAATTAGAACTACAATGTATTTTCTAGACTATAGTTACTGAAAAAGTAAAAATGGACGACATAAAAATCTTGACAGTATTGATAGAAAGAGAGAGGGAGTGTGTTATATATATGTGTGTGGGTGTGGAACTTAAAGAGTGAGAAAAACTTTGAGAGGAGATATAACCTACCCCACGTGCAGGGCGTCTATATACATTAAAATGAATGATGAGAATCAATTTTTAGATGCTATAGATTTTATACTTATTTTGTCAATTTTACAGAAGTTTAATTTATTGAAATAGTTTTTTTATTTTCTAGTAGTATTTTTCAATTTAAAAATTTTTTTAGTATTTTTTTTTTAACTTTTTAGTATTTTTTTAGTTTTTTAAATTATTTACTAGTTTTTTTGAAATAGTTTTTTCAAAAAATTTTCTTAATATAATGAAAATTTTATTTTTTCTCTCTTGAAATTTTTCCTTCAGAATTAATAATTATTATTAACATTTATTAATAATTATTAATTATATTATATATAACTGTTATATAATTACTTCAAGTCTCGTTTAAATTATTATAAAAATAAAATAAAAAGCCGAAAATTAATTAATCACAGAGAAATAATGACAATTTGTCACAAATTTAATTTAATATTAATATTACGCAATAAAATATTTAATATTATGTAAATTATAAATTAACACACTTAATTCGATCTAATATTGAAACTTGAATGGAAGTCATTTAAAACTTGAATTTAATGAAAAAAGTTTAAATCTAGTTATATAGTAAACTTTATACAGAATTTTCTAAATCTTGTTTTATATAATTAACTTAGCTATTATTTAATTTTACAACTTGATAAATTTTTCTATTCTCAAAATAGTTCTAAAACTTTAATTTTAATATAATTTTTCCCAATAAGTTTCGAATAATTGAACGACGAAATTTAAAAATAATTTAAATTATTTAACGTTCAAAAATTTACAGAAAAATATAACTATTTGCTAAAGTTAGAAAGAAAATAAGAAATTAAGGTGACTTGAAATAATTATATAACTTTACGTAATAATAAAAAGCATTCAATAACTTTATATAATTTTTCTTCTATTCTTCATTTCTCTTTCAAAATATTAGTAGAAAAATAAATTAATGAAATAATAATTAAGTAACAATCATTTTAATTATTAACTTAAAATTGAATTTGATGTTAGTTAGATCGTTAATTTTTTAATTAATGAATTAATTTAGATTAAATTAAATTCAAAGCTAATAATCATTTTAAGAGAGAAAAAAGTTTTTATAGAATAAAATTTGAAGAAAATTTTCTTTTCGACAGAATGAATTAATTTTTGGTATTAAATAAATTTTTGTTAAAATATCTTATCTCTTTGTATAAATGTGTTTATATATAAATATCGAAGGACAGTGAACTTGAAGTGATATTCTTTTTTCTTCCCAAATCCGCGAAAAATTATGTAGCGCGATCAGACGTTATCTATAAATATATATACTCGTTTGATACTTAACCTCCAGTCGCGCAAAAAACAGTTTGCTCCAATATCTCAAATTCTTATCGATTATTCCATTTTTTTTATATATATAACATACGTCGACCACATTGTATTGACAATCAACGATGAAACGTTTATCGTTTTCATCTATGAAACGCTACAATGTACATAATAAAAAATCAGTTTCTGCGCGTCGGACAAAAATTCCTTCGAGTTTTTTTTTTTTTTTTTTATTTAAAATAATTTATTTCTATTTTAATTTATTACTCGGCCATTTGTCGGAAATCAACATTAAATATAATAATGGCGCGAAATTCAAATATTTTTGACAGGAGTGAAAAAAAATTCATATTCCGAAAAAATAATGAATGTTGGAAATTTGTTTCCGTTTCGCGTGTTATCGGTGAATAAATTTAAATGAGGAAAAAAAAATGAAAATATATGCGCGGTAAGGGAGAGAATTTATAATATATGTATTAGAAGTAGACTTTGAAAATCGCACACGTGTTCGGAAGATAGGAAACTATGTTACCGTGGCGGAATGAACGGCATCACGGTAACGGTAACATGAACGGTCCGCGGCGACACGACCTAGTCGCAGCGTGTTATAAACGTAGAGAGTGAGCGGCTCAAGAATTTAAAAGTGAAACTCGAAGATGATCCGGATTCTCTCATTCTCTCCCCCCACCTCCACCCCCGCTTACCCTTTCTTTTCTCACTATAATCTAGAGTCTAGGTTTATTAAATTTATAAATATTTTTTATATATTTTTATTAATTTATTTTAGTCCCGCAATTGTATTTAGATTTTTCGACCCGCCCCCCCCCCCCCCTTTATTCTCCTTTTTAATATCAATGAGGAAATAAATGTCTAATCAGTTCAACTGTCTTTCGATTTAATTCAATTGTTAAGGGCAAATTTTTTTTTAAAATTTTTTCTACAACTATTTTTTTGGATTCTTTTGATAATATTTCTCTATAGGAAGTATTTTTTACTGAAACTAATTTTTAAAATAATTTTACGAATAAATAAAATAGTTTTACTAATTTTTTAAAAATATTTTCTATACTATTTTTTACGATACTTTTACTATTTTTTAAAAATATTTTCTACTATTTTTTACTATACTTTTACAATTTTTTTTTAATTTCTACTATTTTTTTACTAAGTATTTTCTACTATTTTTTAATAACAAATTTCTCGTACAAATTCGTAACAAATTTCTTAGTTTTTACTAAGTATTTTTACTATTTTATTATTTCTTTTTCAATTTTTTACTGAGTATTTTCTACTATTTTTTACTATTTCTTTTTCAATTTTTTACTATTTTTTTTACCAAGCATTTTCTACTATTTTCTACTAAAAAAATTACTTATACTATTTTTTTACTTATTAATTTTTTCCATTTTTTACTATCAAATTCATTGTACTATTTTTTTACTACACGGAGAAACATATAAAGTTAACTTTTACTACTTTTATAATAAAACATTTCTGGTAACTTTTACTATTTTCAAAGTAAACTTTGCTACGTTCGAAGTAAATTTTACTAATTTTTTAATTTAATTTTACTTTTTAATTTTAATTTTTTTTTAACGTAGGTAGTAAAATTTACTTTGAACGTAGCAAAGTTTACTTCGAAAGTAGTAAAAGTTACCAGAAATGTTTTACTATGAATGTACAGTAAAATTTACTTTATATATTTTTCTCCGTGTAAGTATTTTTTACTATTTTTTACAAATTAATTTTTTATACCCTTTTTTTGCCGTTATTTTAATAAATATTTTCTCTACTCCTTTTTTCTACTTTTCTCCAAATTATTTTTTTTAAACTCTTTTTACTATTTTTATTTTTACTTTTATTTTTGAAAAACTACTCTGCTTCTTTAGCTGCGTTGCGAAACTTCAATCTCCTCTCATTTTCTTTCTCAATTATTTTCGATACAATTTTTGCGTTATCAATTATTGTTTTTATATTAAAAGCAAAAAAAAAAAAATTTATAGTACCAAAAGTAGTGAAAATATGTTTAAAATAATTCTTTCTTTTTCTCTTTTTAGATATATTAATTTAAAAAAAATCGAAAAAACACATCGTTTTGAGGAATAGTATATGAAAAACAGTTTTTTCTTTTATTTTCAACAGTATATATTTATAATATATATATATATACATAAAAATTATTGGTGAAAACTTGAAAATATAGTGACAAAGTTTAAATATTAAAAAAAAGTGCGCGATTATGTGCACATGAGGATTATGATGATAATAAGTGTTGTTTAATTATGTACAATGAAAATGCGTTGAACGAGGAAACAAGCAGGTGAACAGATTTCTTCAATTCTTGTTTCTGTGGAAGAACTTCTTCGTCATCATTGGCGTTACATTGATGGCAGATCATCGACGCAATAAAAATGTGAGTCACGTGATCTCATTAATAATACTAATAATAATACAAAAATAATGATAATAAACTAAAAATAATAAAAAAAAAAAATAATAAAAATAAAAATATTAAGAATAATAATAATACAAATTATAAAAAAAAATAATAAAAATAATAATAAATTATAACAAATTGTAATAAAAATAGTAAAATTTTAAATATCTGTAAAACATGTATTTATAAATATTTTTAAAAAAAAAATATTTCTCTTGTGCGAGTTGAAATTATAAAATTATGGTTGGCTGTGTATGAAAGAGTTTAAAACCCTTGCACTCGAGTTAGAAAGGAAAGGAAACGAATAGAAGGCGAGTTTAGTTTATCACGCAGTTGGTTGGCAAGGCTCGTAGATCGAGTTTCACTTCTTCACTGTCTCTTTTCAAGACTCGTTTTCATGAGTCGCGAAACGAAACGAGAAGCGAACGGATTCCGGAAATAATCCGCTCCGGAAGTAATGCGGCCTTTGTCTTTCGCTACATATCTTTTAAATCTAAGAGGTATAGAAAGAGAGAGGGGACAATTATTAAAATCCATATTTTTCAAAATTTTCCAAAATTATTCACTAAACAAAAAAAAAAGAAAATTTATTTATATAATCATTTTCTATTTGCCGGCATTTTTAATGAACAACGTTTTCTCATAATACTACTGATCATACAAAACTTGGGTAATTTTATATTTAAATTCAATATTTTTGAAATTATAGTTTGGAATTCTTGTTAGTTGTGGTCGTTAAGGCATTTGAGAGTGTTATGCAGTTTAGGGTTCGCGTTCGAGTCTTCCTGGGTTGGAGTTTTTATTCCATTTTTAATTAGTGAATTATCAATATGTAGTATAGTTAATATTTATTATTAATTATTCTTAATTAATATTAGTGTAAATTATTAATTATTATTTATAATTAATTATTGATTAATATTAATAAAAATAATCATAGTATAGTACATATATAATTAATATTTATAATTAATTATTAATTAATATTAATAAAAATAATTATAGTATAGTATAAATAGTACATAATAGTACAGAGTAATATAGAATAGTACAGAATGGTGTAGATTAATACAAAGCAGTTTAGAATACTACAGAAGAGTATAGTAATATAGAATACTGTAGAATGTTACATAATAGTATAGAATAGTACAGAATAGTAAGGAATAGTGCATATTAGTATCGAATAGTTTAGAATAGTTCAGAATAGTTCAGAATAGTACAGAATATTACAGAATAGTACAGAATATTACAGAATAGTACAGAATAGTACAGAATAATACAGAATAGTTCAGAGTAGTACAGAATAATACAGTATAGTTCAGAGTAGTACAGAATAGTACAGAATAGTTGAGAGTAGTACAGAATACTGTAGAATAGTATAAAATACTACAAAGTAGTACAGAATACTGGAGAATAGTACGAAATAGTGTAGAATAGTAAAAAATAATGCAGAATAGTAAAAATAGTATACACTATACAGAATAGTAAAAAATAGTGCGTAGTAGTAAAAAATAGGAAAGAATACTTCAAAATATTACAAAATAATGCAAATGAAATAAAATAATTATATTATGACTAAAGTGAAAATGTATTATTTAGGAATAGAAAATTTTCCAGCAAAAGTGGAAAGTCATAGTGATAAGTGTACTAAATAGACTGAACGATTTGAAAATATATATGTGAAAATATAATTATAAGAAGAGGAAAAAATTGATAAAATATATTTAAATAAAGATATATGGTTTTCTTAGGCCTAGGTTTTCTGTGAGAGAGGTTTTAATGTTAAGATCGTTTTGCACGCTCGATGAAACACGCCAGACGGAAGCTGTCTACGCTTCCGGCATTGCAAACTGTGGCCAGCAATTGATTTCTGTTTCTTCGACGTAATCTACCCCCTCTCACTTTTTCTCTTTTTTTTCTTATTTTGTACATGACTTTTACTTCTTTCTCACGCACTGAAAATATTTTTATTCTCATTTCTTTTGTATGTTTCTCTTTTGGTATTTACAGTTGTATATTAGATCATTATTCATAAATTATAATATATCAAATTATTAATTAATAATAATAATTAATTATTAATTAATAATCAATAATATCTAATTAATAATTAGTGAATTAATAATAATCAATAATTATTAATAATACCTCATTTAAAATTGATTTAATTTATTATTTTATATAGGTAAAGTTTACAATTATTTAAAATTATTATTTTTTTAATTGAAGTTTACAATTATTAAAATTAATATTTTAGGTAAACTTTACAATAATTTTAAATTATTTACTAAAGTAATTATTTTTATTAAGATTTACAATTATTTAAATGTCTATTTTTGATAAACTCGAAAATTATTGATATAGAAATAAATATCTAGATTTTTATATATATTTGCCGATGCGTTTTTATATATTATATATTAAACGATAAAATCAATTATTATGTTTAAGAATAGAAAATATTTTTGAATAAAGTATACTTATTCTGATATTCAAAATATTTTTAGCTATAAAAGTAATCATTTATGCAAATATTGATTAAAACTACTATATATAGTTTCGAAAAGCAGATTTGGTATATTGTCAAATGTGCTCGGCGTAAAACATTGGATTTTTTTTTTGTCTTAAATCTATAATCAGTACAGTTAACCTCTCGATGAACTCGATTCTTTGCGGTTGAAAATTTTCAGGCATTATACGATATCTAATTTAGAAAAAAAGACAGAGACAAATATGCGGTATTTTTAATCGAATTCAGAAATTTTTTGCAAAATTAATGCAGTAGAAAAATTTCATTAATAATTTGCTTTTTGCAGAACGAAAAATTAATTCAGTTTAGGAAGTAAGAAATAGTTGGAAATTTATTTTCAAGTTTATTTTTCTCTTTTGGAATCAATCAGTCATTCGTCATTGTCCGTAAGTGACAAAAATTTTCTTTTAATTCGATTATTGTCAAAGTATATATATACATAATAGAAATTATTTATTTTTAAGAAGCAGATATAGAGATTGTATTTTATTTATTATAGTGAGAATTTGAGAAATTATTATAAGAGACGAGGAAAAAGAATTGATTTTCTTATTATTTACCGATATTTGATAAAATGCGCGCGCACGTACCAATTAGATAAAGTTAATGAAGTGTAAAAATTTATAAACTGAAAAAGGTGAACCGTCTGCTAGAAAGTAATTAACTAATTTATGTTACCAGACAATACTCTAAAATTCTTTTATTTTCTCATAATTCGAAAAATTTTTATTAAATAGTATATTTTATTCTTATTTCTATTTCTATTTTATACTTTTATTTCCTTAATTTCTTCTTTAATTCTTAATTTTTATTCTTTTGAATTCACAATAATGATAAAATAATATTAAAAATAATAGTAGTAAAATTATGTTCCGTAATATAAATAATGTCCCGTTTATATAAATAAATAAATAAATAAATAAATAAATAGAAAAAATAATAAAGAGGATAAAAATTATAATTATAATAAAAAGAAAGAATAGTAATGGTAATAATAATAAAATGAAAAATGGAGAAAGGGCAAAAAAAATAAAAATAGAAGAAAGTAGGATACATTAATTTATAAATGATATGAAAGGTTATCGCGTTGTTGCTGTTTCTTTTTTGCAATTTTATTACAAAATGATTCAAAATTATTATTTACGAGTGTAAAAGGGTGTTTGTTTAGACGAGAAAGTTGTATGATAAGTGTAGTGATTGAAGTGAGGTCATTCACCTTTTTTCGTATCATTAGTAACAATATTATGTGTTGTCATAGGTTGCATTATTCTGATTTTGTTAATCATTTACGTAATTTTTTAAACATTAAGACGTAAATTCCAATATGCATTCCATATATGTATATTTTCAAGTAATTTATTTTCTTCATTAAACACTTTCGATTAATTAATAACACATAATTATGTATAATTTATTGAATTGCAAAAAAACTGCTTTTTGATTAATTAATAACATAATTTATTAAATTGCGAGTTTTAAGACTGTCAATTAATTTAGAAGTGAATCTGAGAATATATAGTCGGAATTAGATTTCAATTCGAGTAATTGTGCTGGAGACAGAATTAATTTACAAAAATAAATGAAAATTTAGTTTGATAGATTCGTAAAGTTGGGATCAGAATAACTTTTAGTGTTGAATTAGAAGAAAGTTTTAAAAAATCGGTTTTTTGATGCTTAGCAACGCTAAGTCGACGCTAATTTCAAAGATCTTCGTTGTCAAAGAAGAAACAAGTTTTCACTCTCAAAAAATGGTGAATAAAATTTTTAGCGTCATTTTATGAGCCACTGTAGGACTTGGAAAGAATTTCTTCCTCAAAGAATAACAAAAAAGTAATTGAAACGACAGAAATGAGTAAAGAAAAGTGAGAAGGAAGAGTACACGGCATGTCAAATTGGCAGAGAACGTGAATCTCTTCCGCGATTACAAAATTCGTATATCCGCAGTCAAAGCGCCAGCCGGAACACGCTAAATTTTTATCCAAAACTGAACGTCCGCCACTACGACCACATGCCACTGACAAACAACGCTAAACATGTGGCTAAATCATTTCAATTACACGAGAAATTTATTTTTTAAAAAAAGAGAAAGTATAATAAGTAAAAAAAAATGTACAAAAAAAGTGATGTCAGTTTTGAGGAGAATTGAAAATAAGTGTACGTGTTTGAGTGGAGGGGGAAAGAGTGTATAAGAACAGCGAGAGATATGTAGGTGATTGATTGTAAGCGTGAGCGTGAGAGAATAGGTGAGAGGTAATAAAGATGTGGTTGTGGAGGCCGACATCGCAGTGACTCGGGTCGACGTCCTGATGCTCGGACGAGTCCGTGGAACCTCGTCGATTCTCGGCACTAGGTCAGTGATGGAGTCACTGGCCGCCCTGAGCGTCGAGGCAATGACACCGAGCACGCTGAGGCTCGAACCAATCCAATGAGTGCGAGCATATCCGAT